TTTGCCGCGCCATTGTCGCGACCGGCTGGACAATCGAACCCAGGCAGATCTGCCATATTCTTTGGTTTGGATGATCCGGCCGCAGGTTCCTCGAAAATCAGGCGAGAGCGATGTCACTCGCTTACTCGACTTATTGTCGGATGCCGCTACGAAAAACAGCCAACTTCTACCCTGGTCTGCTTCTACTGGATCGTTGCCGACAAGCGAGAGCGATGCCACTCGCTTACTCGACTTATTGTCGGATGCCGCTACGGAAAACTTCTACTGGATCGTTGCCGACAAGTGAGAGCGATGCCACTCGCTTGCTCGACTTATTGTCGGATGCAGCTACGGAAAACAGCCAACTTCCACCGGTGCTCTGCTTCTACTGGATCGTTGCTGACAGGCGAGAGCGATGCCACTCGCTTACTCGACTTATTGTCGGAAAGGTGCTGGTGCTGCTGTTGTTGTTACACTGCCGCTGGTTACTACTGCTGCTGGTTAATACTGCTGCTGGTTACTGCTGCTGGTTACTGCTGCTGCTGTTGTGGCTTGTACCGCATCTGCCGAAAAAGTCCGAGAGCGCAGTTTGTGCTCTCTTATTTATACCCAAGATCGTTTCATTTCCCCTTTTCTTCTGACCAATGAGCATCATGATGACGATTTTAGTAAGAAGGGAGATTTATTGACGCTTGCCTTTTTTTTTTTTTTTGATACATATGTATATATTGTTATTCTTATTATTATTATTATTTTTTTTATTATAATTATTATTATTATTTAATTTAATTTTTAAATTATTATTTCAATCCTGTCTCTACACTTATTTTTTTTGTACAGTAAACGCAGCATGTCATAAAATTAAGACGATTCAGAATTTAAAAAAAAACATGAGATTTTTCCTTCTTTCAACCATGAGCAGTTCTTTGCAGTTCTATTCATGGTGGGTATATAAATGGTGATACAGCTTTGTCACTATATAGGCGAGGAGGTCGCGGGGGGGAAAAGTGCGGTTTTAGAACAAATTGTAAACAAACTCGGTCGCTGTCCCATACAAAAATCCAACATGGCTGAATCATGAATTTGACACATTAGAACACCTATATGTAGCTACCTTGGTTCTATTATTCGGAATAATGAAACTATGAGATTTTTTTCCGTCAATCTTGTTTTCCGTGCTGAGCACCAATGCTACCGACGCCAGGGAGGCAGCTCCCATACCTGGACCCTACCTATCGACCCATCAACTCATGAACCGGGGACCAACGGCTTTACTTCCCTTCCAAAGAAAGGCGTGATCAGAGATGTTATGCCTCAGAACATCCCGGCGGCGCCGACTGGGATTGAATCCAAGCCTGCTGGGGTGAGAGGTAATAACAAACTATGAGATATTATAATGATATTTTTTATTTGTAACATGCAGGAAGAGGAGGTAAAGTTTGTTTATGACTCATAAAACTTGTCAATTTCGCTTCTAAAAAACGCCCGCGAACGGTTGGTTTTTTTCGCTGGCGCTGATTTTATCTGTTTTCCACATTTTTTTTTTTTTAATTCGACCAAATCAAAAATATTAGTTTTCGCGTGTGGATAAGCGTGAATTAGGATCTATATCACGTTTTAAGAAGCTTTTTAGTGATATTGTAATTAACGTGAAAACTCTGGGACAAGAATTTGTTTCGAGTAGCTGTGTTGCTGTGGTGTGAGAGATGAACTAGCCGTCAGCTAAAAATCTCTTAAATAAAGATTTAAAAAAATATATGCTGTGGTGTCGCGTTGGTCGGTTTTTCTTTTCGCTTATTTTTGGTGCTTTGCCTCCCTCCCAAGAAGTGTTTTAAAGGGTTTTTTTTTCTTGGTGCTGGCGTTCTGCCTTCCGGAGGATGCACGCGAATGAGGTGTTACACTGTAACTGGAAAGTACCCATTAATGGGTACAATTTCACCAATTTTGATGTAAAGTAGGTTAACCAATTTAATTGCTAAAAAAGCCCATTAATGAGTATCTAATACCCATAAATGAGTAATTGTTACCCATAAGTGGGTAAACGTTACTCATTAATGGGTAACCTACTTTACTTCAAAATGGGTGAAATTGTACTCATTAATGGGTACTATAATGTTAGAGTGTAGGCAAAAATTCGGTGCAAATGAAAAACTTCGCATGTCATTCAAAATGTTTTGTTCGGTTGTAAAAACAACGCGGAAGATTTTTTTCGATTACCGCGAGTGAACAAACCGGTGCTTTTTCGGAGAGAATTTGGTGAGATCCATCTGATTATAAATCAATCATAAATGCATATTTCCCTATATGTATTACTAAATACGCGCCAGATTTCGCAATCTGGAAGTGTGTTTGCAGAAGCGTTGTTCATATTATAACGGTATTGCTTACATGCGGGGCTTATTGTATGTGAAAGTAACCTCGGAATGGACGTGAATTACCAGGCATTCTGAAATGGGTTGTTGAATCTGCAATAGAGCTATCGCTTTCTAACTCCCGAACTAAACTTCGACCAACATCGACCGGAGGAAAAATTACCCGAAATAGGGTACGGCCAGGGTAGAAGCGATTCGCGATGCGACGCGACGCGAAGCGATCGATGTGGAAGCGATTTTTAACGCGAATTGATAGCCAGAGTGAACGCGATCAGAAGCGATGTCGTGCAATGAGATGCAAACAGGAGTGGCCCAGAGAATTTGTCGTTGCTTCCCTTCTCTCACTGTTCACATGGGTGATGGAGCTTGATGTCACATCCCGTCAACGATCAATAGAGTGAAAGAACGAGCGAGACGACGAATTCACATGGCTTCACATATTTACCGCTCATTGGATGTCTTCATGTGTCAATGTCATTGCCAACGCACTTCAGTTTACAAGTTTATTGAAATTATACAGAAATGGATTTCTCTGATGAAGAATATTTTGCTTCAGATGCTGTGCAACGATATTTTTTTTTTGAACTTTTGAAAAGTTCGTAAAGCTTTTGAGAAGCATGTAGAATTTATGAGGGATTCATAGAGGTACTTTCTGAATATTGGAGGTTTTATTTATATTTGTGTCATGGATTGAAAGTTTAAAAACCATAACATTATCCATTCTCGTTTATAATATATTCTAAAACATCTGACTACACTCAAAAAGAAGCTGAAAAACTCTTATAACTAATATCACCCTCACTTTCAGTGTGCGAGCTTTGGGCCTTTCTATATAGAGCTTTTTGACGTTTAATCGGTGCACACTACTGCACCATTTAAATCGAACGAGTGCAAGCAAGAGGGAAACAGATTAGTGGGAAAACAAACCGTGCATTCATCCATGTGTGCTAGATAGAGAAAGACGATTAAACGTCAAAAAGGTCTATACACATAATCAAGCACAACTTGTTGAATTTTAATCCTGAGTTCCAGCCTCGGTTCCAGCTTGTGGGGACCGGGGCTGAAAAAATCACTAAAATTCATCAAAGTTCACTATGGATGAAAAATTCATTTCATAGTGAATGCTGGTGATTTTTTCTGGGGTCCCTCATTTCATCGTCCTGATCATTGGCTGCTGGTGTGGGTGCAATCTTAAGGTTTTCGGTTGATTTTCGGGGTTTCATCTGCTGCCTCAAGAATTGCATGCAGGTAAAATATGGCCAAGTGCTGTTGTGGCAGCTTTTATCTCCTGCACCACCGGATTTAGATACCAGCAGCTTGCGCAGTTCCCTAGCATAGGTATCTCGAAGGTTCTTCCACTTCCACTCAATTCATTTGCTGAAAATACAATATCAATTAAGAATCACAAAAAGAGTCGAATCAGTCATGAAAATACGTGCTGCTATAAATAAGGCGAATGCACCAAATTTGTGAAGTTTGTTCCCCAGTACAGCGAAAATAAAATATTAAACTTACCGAGAATCGAAAACTCCTTCTCGAGTTAGTTCCATCCTTTCTCCACCAGAACACGGTTCCGGTATTTTCGGGATGTTTGATCCCACAATTCTTCCCGCAAGAAAATAGCACCGATAAAATATTCTGCATCGATTCCGGTGGTAGCAGGTTCTGTTTCCGCCATCGTGAATTCATACGAAATCTGTTTGCAGAAGAAATACATACCATCAATTACTGTCAATGGTCGAAAGGTACAGTAGCAGCACCTACCCCACCCGTGTCCCCTCGAGATCGTCAAGTCGACGATGACAGGAGCACATATCGTGGTAGGGGTAAACAATAGTTGCAATATCCAAACCTACGACTGGATGCCTTCCTTCAAATAACAACTGAAGTGCGGTAAAAAATCGGTAGAACTGTTGGTACTTGAGCGGTCGATTTTCATCTCTTTTTGCCAGTGGTGGCGGGGGGGGGGGACACCCCTCACCATCCCTCTCCAAAGGGGGAGTTTGGTAAAGACAGATGAAAAAACCGATTTGTACCTTCCTTAAAAGTTGTCCTAGCTCGCTATTCTACTATCTATATGCAATTTTCACACTGCCGTACTCTAACGGAACTATCAACTCTATGCTTTCATCTACTCCATCTATCGTATAAAAATTACCACTACAGTCTGTTATTTGAAATTAGCATCTTCAACTATGTAAATCGTTGACTTCACGCAGAAGTAATACTAAAACATATAGTCAAAGTGAACATATTTGTTCCGTCCACTAGCGGTCCTACGTCAAGCTTCCGTTCGTGCCGCTAGGCACAGACCCTTCTACTTTTTTTTAAGTAACCAATGATTTTGTGAAGCAAACAATAGGTTTTGATTAATTATAACCATACGTTATATTGTATTTCTATGATATTTTGATTAGGGCAGCCCTACCTCCGCATCCTATTTCAACGTTTGACTTAAATATGATTTATTGCCAGTCAAACCGAAAATTAGAGCCATTGTGCGACGGCTGTTGATCAACGCAGCGGCAATTTTAACCGTAAGCGGCTACGATGGTTTGACAACCATACAAGCGAGCCGGCAAATTGACGTAAAATGTCTTGTGCATACTATGACAAACCCGTATAGACGAAGCACGCAAAGCAAAAGAAGCAATAACTTAAGGCAGACGTTTTCAAGTCACACGAGCGGCGAGAGTGCTTCAGTTAGCTTCAGTCATTCCTAAATTCCCGTTCGCTTTCGCCGTGTGCCATCAACAGTTCGCATTAATTTTGAATAGTTTTAGCGTATTATTTTTTACATTACCGTACTGTTTTGCGTGTTTCTTTTTTAATGTTTGTTACAACATAATCCAATTGGTGCATTGAGTTTGAATTGTGATTTGTGATACAAGAGTTTTCCTATCTATTTGGATTAGTTTCTTAAGTTTAGTGTAAGGGAAGGCAGAAATCACACACCGATAAAAGTGCATTATCATGTCGAAACCAAGGGTGCTTATTCTAGGAGGTAAGATTTTCAAAACCATTCACTGTTAGTACAGGAGGAACAACGCTGAGAAGCCCTTTAATAGATATAATTTGATTTAATGGTAGATATCCTTTTCCTTGAACGAACGAATATCTACACGAAGGAATGCAGAAAAGTAGCATGTTCCAATTGCGAACGAAAAAAAAAAAAAAAAACAAGTAACGTAACCAACACCAACGTCTGGTGGCGCACTGTTGCATGAGTAAAGTGTGATATACTTCAGAGCTAAATACTCTTCAAGGTTAGCAAATTTCTTCTTTGCTCCTTGCAGAAGAATCGTTCATCCCTGTGTGCAGTGCGATATTCAGTTGACCTAGGGGAGATAAGGGCCTGATGTAAGTTGTTTATCAACTGGAAGTACCGTAGATATGTTAATACGGTGCTAATTAGTAGCCATTAAGACTGTAGAACAGCTTATCATTATGTCGTAATACATGCTAAATCTAATTTTGAAAGTTCAGAGGCAGCTTGGGCGAGTTTTGATTCGCGAGAAATCTTCGTTGATTAATAAAAGTAAATACATGCTCCTAAAAATCTGCAGTGTCTACAAGACTGGAAATAAATGATTCAATCGTTGCTTATTTAATTACCCATCGGCGTGTATAAATGTATTGGGACTGATAATGCCCGGTGCGGCGGGTCAGTAGCCAATGTATTACGATAATAACGACTGTTTAATTATGTTTATCTCTTCTTGGTGGACGGCTGTGTGTTGTGCCTTGGTAAAACGACGGTTCTGCTTTGTGACGTAGGACTACAATGTCGTTCGTTGTTGGAAAGCAGGAGAACGAATAAATTATTCATAAACACAGCTCTGTGTATCTCCAGTTTTTTTTTTTTTTTTAATATGAGTAATATTTCCGTGTGAGAAAAGGAGATAGCAATACAAATTTTACTCAGTTACGAGTTAGATTGAAAGGCCGTGTATGGTCGAGAGTCAACTTTTTCTGTACGTACCAAAAGATTTGATAAAGAGAAACCAATCGTTGAGATATTGTCAAAAGTGCACTGCTTCTGGACGCCAAACTCGGCCTACGGATTTTAAACTCGACCTAACGTATTGAAACGCCATTGAAACGCCAATTAATTCACTTCGGCCTATCCGATGAAGATAAAACTTGATTAGGTCGGAGCCCTTCTTTTGTTTTTGGGAATAATGGGTGCAAACCTTCATATCACGCGTTCTAATTGACTTTGTTCGGTAGCTTATTAACTAATGTATCGTACCAAACGCATAATTGACTTGTTAACTCTGAAATCATGGATTTATTTGAAGTTTTCTGCTCGATAGGCCCAAAATGGGCGATTAGGCCGAAGTAGTTCTCTACCCTATTTATTTGATTTACGAACCAAGGCATACCAGCTAGCCGACTTGAACACTACACACTAAGATTATTTCACAGATTTCAACAAGCAATTTCAGTTATAATGGCGATGTACACGTTATGAACTCTAAAAAAATAATAGCTCGTCCTCATCATCTTTCTTCATCTCTTGAGCATTCCAATTCAAAATATGTAATGATTTAAAATCCATTACTAAACGTCGAAGTCATTACGATATTGTTCGTAAATTTAACTCCAGTTTGAATAGCATCAAACATAGAGTTTGTGTTCAGCATATCAGTAATCATGTCGATTAATAATTTCTGTGTCAGTGTTCACTCGGCTGTCGACAAAAGCAGGCCACTCTCGATGTGTGCTACGCGATCGTCTGTTTTCTCGGCAGCAACCATTGTGTGGTCCTCCTCATTGTTCTTTTTTTTTTTTTTTAACCAGTATGTTTATTTGGAAGGCTCAATCGCGTTAGCTTTACGGAGCCGATAGTTCATTGTTCTTTGTTTGTAACAAAATTCACTTAATTCTATGTCTAGTAGGAGTTGGGCCGAATACTCGCGGCTTACACGAGGTTAGAGAGGTACATTGTCGAAGGATAGGATCAGGGGAGGAGCTTGGGGGTAAGGTTTCGTTGTCTCATCAGAGCGTTGTCGCCAGTATGAATGGTAGTGCGGTTCTAGTTTCGTCTGGAGTTCGACCGGCTATGGTGGGTGACCAGTGGGCGACGATGAGACTCATCGAGACGGGGGGACAAGACAAACAAAAACTAATAAAGAGAGACAAAAGACAAAGGAATTAAATTCTTATACTAGACATTTGAAGAAATACATAAACCGACTGCATATAGCAGATATCGCGAGTTCCCAACACGTCTCTGATAGGAACATAGGGTTGTCTTCCTTGGGCCTCGAGGGTATTCAAAAGTCGCTCTCTGGCGGCGTAATTATCCGTACATTGCCAAACTGCATGATCGATGTCATCGTAACCGTTTCCACACCGACAGATGTTGCTGTCCACGAGGTTTATTCTATTGAGATGAGCATCTAGCGAGTAGTGGTTGGACATAAGTCTACTCATCACGCGAATGAAGTCACGACTTAAGTCCAAGCCTTTAAACCACGCTCTCGAAGAAACATTAGGAATAATTGAATGTAACCACCGTCCAAGATTTCCATTGTCCCAATCGGTTTGCCAACTCGAAAGGGTACTCTGACGCACTAAATAGTAAAATTCATCGTGTGAAATTTGCCTGTCATAAAATTCGCCTTCCTGCGCGCCCACCTTTGCGAGAGAGTCCGCCTTCTCATTGCCTGGGATTGAGCAATGTGAGGGGACCCATACAAAGGTAATCATATATGATCTTTCGACCTGCACACACATCTGCTCCCTTACTTTTGAAAGGAAATAAGATGAGTGCCTACCTTGTTTCATCGACCGAATAGCCTCAATCGAACTGAGACTATCCGTGAAGATGAAGTAATGGTCTGTGGGCATATTGGAAATCATCCCCAATGCGAAGTTGATTGCTGCCAGCTCAGCAACAAAAACGGAACAAGGTTCCTGAAGTTTGCGGAAGGCGCTAGAGTTTTCATTGAAGACACCGAAGCCAGTGGATCCATTGAGACGGGACCCGTCTGTAAAATATCTTTTCATGCAATTGACTTGTTGGTACTTTTCAGTAAAAATACGCGGAATAATAATAGGTCGAAGTTGATCGGGAATCCCATGAGTTGCTTGTTTCATGGTCAGATCATATTCAATTGAGGAACTGCGATTGGTGAAGTGAACACGGTCTGGAGTATAACAAGGAAGACACATATCTGATGATATGTAGTGGTGGTAGATTCTCATAAATCGAGATTGTGTGTTCAGCCCAAGAATTTCTTCAAAATTAGCAATTATAAGTGTGTTCGTCACTCCGCATATGATTAGTATTCTGAGAGAGAGCTCCCAGAAACGGTTCTGGAGGTGTGTTACTCCTGCCAGAACCTCGAGACTCATGTTATGCGTTGAGTGCATACAGCCTAGAGCAATACGCAGACAACGATATTGAATTCGTTCCAATTTTATTAGGTGACATTTTCTTGCCGAGAGAAAGCAGAAAGAGCCGTACTCTAGAACAGAGAGAATAGTTGTTTTATAAAGCGTTATGAGGTCTCCCGGATGAGAACCCCACCATGTGCCGCAAATTGAACGGAGAAAGTTGATCCTCTGCTGACATTTTTGCTTCAAATACGTAATATGGGCATTCCAAGTGCACTTTGAATCAAACCAGACCCCAAGGTACTTGAAAGACAATGATTGGATAATGTTTCTGCCCAAAAGATTAAGCTGCATTTGGGCTGGGTACCGCTTTCGAGTAAACACTACCAGTTCAGTTTTCTGCGGCGAGAAATCGATCCCTAGATTCCTAGCCCAAGACGACAAGTTATCTAAGGAACTTTGCAATGGTCCTTGCAAGTCCACGGCATATGGACCTCTTACGGAAACCACACCGTCATCTGCAAGTTGTCTAAGCGTGCATTGTTCTGCCAAACAGTTGTCGATATCTTTGACATAAAAGTTATAAAGAAGAGGGCTGAGACATGAGCCTTGGGGCAGGCCCATGTAGCTAATTCTGGAAGTTGTCAGTTGTCCAAGGGAAAAGTTCATTTGCTTTTCTGACAACAAATTGTACAAGAAATTATTTAAAATTCCAGAAAGTCCACATCTGTGCAGATTGTCTGACAGAATTTCAATGGAAACTGAATCAAAAGCCCCCTTAATGTCCAAGAATACTGAAGCCAATTGCTCCTTGTGCGCAAAGGCCAGTTGAATATCTGTGGAAAGCAGCGCTAGACAATCGTTTGTTCCTTTGCTCTTGCGGAACCCAAACTGTGTATTTGATAGCAAGTTATTTGCTTCGACCCACTGATCGAGTCTCCGAAGGATCATTTTCTCCAACAATTTCCTAATGCACGAAAGCATTGCAATCGGACGGTATGAGTTATGGTCAGACGCTGGTTTGCCAGGTTTTCGAATGGCTATTACTTTGACCTGTCTCCATTCAGGCGGTGCAATGTTATTTTCTAGTAAGGAATTGAATAAATCTAGCAAGCGTCTTTTAGCGATGTCTGGGAGATTTTTCAGAAGATTGAATTTAATCATATCGCTTCCCGGTGAGGAGTTGTTTGATGAAAGAAGAGCCATAGAGAATTCCAGCATTGTGAATGGTCTATCCAGAGAGCTGCCGCTCGGAGACGCTTCTCGAAGAATGTGTTGTGCTGGAACTGAGTCCGGACAGACCTTTTTAGCGAAATCGAATATCCATCGGTTGGAGTATTCTTCACTCTCATTAGAAGATGAGCGGTTACGCATGTTGCGAGCCACCCTCCACAAGGTGTTCATTGAGGTTTCTCGTGAGAGTCCCTCGACGAAATTGCGCCAATAACCGCGTTTTTTTGCTTTGATTATTTGTTTCAGCTTTGTTTCAAGCTTTGAATATTCCTCGAAGTATGTGGAGGTTTTGTGTCTACGAAAAGCTTTGAAAGCATCAGATTTTTCTAAATACAATTTTGTGCATTCTTCGTCCCATCCAGGTGTGGCTGGTCTCCTTTTGAAGGGCGCACTTGGAACTTTTCTTTTTTGTGCTTCCAGTGAGCT